CTCTCTCTCTCTCTCTCTTTCTCTCAACTGCGGTCGACACATAATAATTAAGGTGGTTGCAGTCTAGGGAGTTAGGTGGCCAGATGTAAGAGATGATGTGGTCGCAGAACTTGTCTGACAGCCATGATTGTGTTTTCCTGCTTGTATGGCAAACATAGTGTCTTCTAGCAGCCATCATCGTGACCTGAGGCAGCACTACCTCAGCAAGTTATTTGATGTTGCCCACCCCCTGCTGAGTCTGAGGCCCTGTGGGAAAATGAATGGAGGCATAACTAGTAATCTATCGTATCCCTTACACATATGCGATGACTTCAACGTTCACTCTAATAAAACCGATGAGGAAGGCAGATATTGCAGGGACTTCTCCATCGCATACGAACTAAACCAGATCATACGAATTCCCACCTGACCCAAAGTGAAATTCCTATATACAATTCATCGGTAAAGATGCGAGTAAAACGATCGAGGCCCGCTCTAGTAAGCACCAGACTTCTCATGGTATCCTCAATAAGAGCCAGATCAGGCCGAAAATGGAGTACTGTTGCCATATTTGGGTGGGAGCTGCCCAGACAACACTTTCCAGTCTTGATAGAGTTCTAAAGCGTCTCTGAGTCCTTGTGGGAGAAGAAATATTCCCCACGTTCCAACCTCTCTTTCACAGGCGGAGTGTAGCGATTCTCTCACTGCTCTATCATAGTGTGTCTTGTAGCTCTTAATAAACTCTGTCTTTCTGTTATTTCTCCTAAGGCTTGTACTGGCATCCATTTACTCACTGAATATGTTATTCGTTGTCTACCTATGTCTCTTTTGTCCGCTATCTGTCCCATGAGTGTTAGATTTTCCAAGCCATCCTTCCTTATTATATACCCTCGAATCATCAATAGTCTCTTCCTGATGTTATCAGTACTAGTGGGTCTTTTTGCGTCTGTCTAGTAGATCCATGTGTCTAATTCTTGAAGATGGTAGTGGGAGGAAGACAGGAAAAGAGTCGTCTAAAATATCGTGTATCATATTTCAAGTCGGTCTTGCGGGAGTTGGTGGTGTCGGTACGTGTGTTGATTGTTGGTCAGATGCACACTATTAGTATTGGGGTAAATTTTATGGTTGATGAAAAAAAGTATATCAACGATAATATCAGTCAGTAATGTGCCATACGTGATACACGCTTAGGCGATCATGTATCTTTCGATACATGACGCAGTAGAAAATGATAGTTTTTTGCGGTTGACCAATTGCCAACCAAGGTCTGTCCTGCTATTTACCCATAGCTGCGGGGTGGGGGGAAAAGAAGAAAGGATTCATAGGAATTGAACTCGGTTTCTACTGATTGCTCAATCCGAGCCGCTATCCATTACTCCACCGTGCCTCCACTACATTACGAGTAGGATTTAGCTTGATATCACAAATCCGGAAAAGAATACAAATGAAATGATCATACGAATTATATTCTAATGCCGTATTCATTTGAGTCAACATAAATGAGGTTTCAAATTTTTTAATTTTTACCCACCTACGGCCTCGAAAGAAATGTCATCGTTTTTTGTTTTAGTTTTTTTTTTTTTTCAACGGCAGTGACATCTGATGTGGTGCCTCAAGTCTGGTCTGTTTAAATATTGTGTTTTTTTTTTTTTTTTTTACAGTATATCAACTACAATATGTTATTTAGTGCCGAAAAGATTTTTAGTGTTGGCAATATTTTTTCTTCCAAAATGTATTACTGGTAATATTTTTCTTTATTATAAATGTATAGCTGTTAATAATTTTTCCAAAAAAGTATTACTGGTATTAAAATCTATTTTTATACTTTCATAGACTTTTGATCCCTTTGGGGGTGTTAACTATTTGCCCACAGCTGGGACCCCAACAAGTGCCACCACTAAGGGCCAGTGTGGACCTGGGAACACCAGGTGGTTCCATGCTGATCAAAACCTCCTGATGAAAGGCCTTGCTGTCGGATGTAGTTTACCGTCTTACCCGTCTTAGTTTATCCTCTTACCCAGGACGTGGATGAAGTTTATCGTCTTACCCAGGACGTGGATGAAGTTTATCGTCATACCCAGGACGCGGATGTAGTTTATCGTCATACCCAGGACGCGGATGTAGCTTATCGTCATACCCAGGACGCGGATGTAGTTTATCGTCATACCCAGGACGCGGATGTAGTTTATCATCATACCCAGGACGCGGATGTAGCTTATCGTCATACCCAGGACGCGGATGTAGCTTATCGTCATACCCAGGACCCGGATGTAGTTTATTGTCATACCCAGGACGCGGATGTAGTTTATTGTCATACCCAGAAGGCGGATGAATTTTATCGTCTTTCTCAGGATGGGTTTAAATTCCAAAAGATCTGGATTTGGTCATTTTCGATCGTCAGGCCTCTTGTTGGTATCATTTCTGTTCGACTTCAAGTTCATACATCGGCGCCAATTAATCTGAGAGACCAATTGTATTATTGCCGGCGGTTGTATTATTTTAATGTTACATTTCGTAGATTTCAATTATACTACGAAAGCCACCATGAAATAACGTTATTCAATTTTGAAAATGACTTTATTTGATGAAATAGATAAGACGGTACATGACAATATGAAAAAAGCTCTCATTGTCGAAGTTTTACTCCCCTGTTGACACATCGCCAGTCCTAAACATAACATGGCCGTTTTGTTGAAATTAAAAAGTTATCATGTGATTACCATTTAGCAAAATACAGTACAGCGTTATGCCACTCAGAACAGACTGCATTAAGTAAATTAATTACAGACAATTGCGTAATATTGTTAAGGGGGAATTTTGCTCGCTTCACTGCGGCCCTGATCACGAAAATGGCGACAGAGACGCCGCTACTGCCCAGTAAAGGTCAACATCATTTCAGTAATTGAAAAAAAAAAAGAAAAAAATCGTGGTCATGCGCTGTCGTTTCCTTTTAAAAACTTTTCAGGCATTGGAGCATGCGCATTTCAAGACTGGACTTTGGAAATTATTTATATACAAACATCAGGAGTTTACCATTCCGCTCTAAACGGATATTTATTACAGCGCTCTTGGATATTATCAACGAACTACTAGTTTTGACTTATATCAATGTTACAGTTCTAACCATATCGGGTTTTTGCTTGTTTATAAATTAAAAAAATACGTATTAGTTACTTACACACGTAGAATCACTTAATATCAGGCCATAATTATGACGAATATTTACAATGTTGCGTTGTTATTAACATTACTAACGAATTACTAAGTCAACTGTTAAGGATTGAATTTCCGGTTCCTTCTAAAGCCTTCTTCTAATGTCTCCGCCTAAAACTCTGAAATTTTAATCACTATTTATTTACTTTCTTTTTCTTTCCTCAATAGGAGTAGATAGGTTCGCCTACTGTCCGGTTCACACTCCTCTCAGTTTTTTTTTTTTTTTTTTTGAACCGGTTTAAATATTTATCCATTTTTCTGTTTAAAATTAGGTTTCCGGTTTCTTCTAAAACCTTTTCTTTCTCTTTGCCCTCACACTGCGTCTTGGTGACATTATTACCTTGCTTGGGCTTGTGTCTGTTAATGTGTACCTGGAGTGGCTCTTGGGCCTTGTACAAGTTGAACATCATTGTAAAAAAAACAAAACACCTCTACTTGTATTCCGTTAGAATTAGGTTTATTTTATTTCAATTATCTTGTATTTGTTTTGTATTCAACTTGTGTAGTTTGAGTAATCTGTGGCAAATGGTTGCATAGTCACTGCAGAGGGTAGTGTGTAGTTTTATGATAGGGACTCTAGTCCTGTTAAGTCACAGATATCGGGCAGTTAAACCTTGGATGGTACTTCGACGTTAAATGTAACTCCAATTTTCCGTGGATTATCTGCTAGGGTAGAGGTTTGCTCCTCTCCTCATAGCCGCAAGATACCGTAGAAATCAGTACTGGGTTTTCATCAGGACTCTTTGTGAGTCAGAACACGGGCTTTTGGTAGCCTATGTCGACATGTTATGTCATTGGTAATTCTCCCAGAAACTGACGTTCCCGACGGCATACATAAGACTTAGATTTGCTGTCTCTTCAACACGTTCAACCCACAGAAGTATGAACCTTAGGGGATAGACTTAAATTATATAATGTATTAGTTTTAATTTAATTACAGAGTTTTATTAGTGATACCGAAATCCTCTATCAGTTTAATTTGAAATAAGAATTTAATTAAGCAGTAATTATTATAAGTACCTTTTTAAATAATTATTACAGTTTCACTTAGTATCAAATAATAATTAAATGCTTTTGTTATATTTTTAATATTATGATACATTATATAAATGACATTAATGCAAATGATATAATATTTTTAAGGTAAATATAATGATTACAGGTGTTTTACTTAGAATCTTATAGATATACGAACTGCATTATAAATACAGCGACATGGATCTTCATTGGGTACCCAAAGTTAAATAAGTAATTATTTAAAAATATCTAATGATCTGGGATATCACTGGTAGGATATAACTCATGAAAAAAAAAAGAGTTTCCGTTGACTCAAACGAATGTATATCACGAATTCTTGGAAGGGGAAAAAAATGAAAGTATACGATTTATATTTTCGACTTGTGTTTATTTAAGTCAGCAATGCGTAGATATGGTTACCAATTTTATTATAGCGACCCACCTACTTTACTGCTACTCCTTTTTGTAGATTTAGTCATTTCCTGGCGGCGAAGAAGTAAGTATCTATTAAGTCTTGAATTTAAAAATCTTTCAACTCCAAATTAATTTTAATATTTTAGCAATTTTGTTTTTCACGGAACGTCTATATTGCATGTTGAGCTTCAAGACGAAAAGGATTGTCAGCGGTAAAGATTTTAATAGTAATAACTTATAAAGATCTACCTGTGAAAACGTTAGCTATAATCTAGAGAATTTAAGTTTATCAAAAGGCCCTTTTTATTTTCTTTAAAGTACCTTTTTACTGCAAAGCTAATCACTGAAATTGTTAAGGATTTAAATACAAAACAAATATGACAACAAACGTCGATCAAGACGGACTTCTTGATGCACTCACCCCTGTCCTTTGGCTAACCTTCTTCAGTGGAAACTCCCTCCGTTTGCCGAAAGAACATCCAAGAAAGCTCGTCCAATCGCTCATGGTGACCATCGACTGTTCCGTTTGTCTTCTTTTGGTTATATATGCTATACAATTAAAGCACATCTTTAAAATTCCGGAGACAAATTCATGCAAGTTTCTCATCGGACTTTGCTTCCAACTGTTCTACTCTTGCGTGGCGCTGCGCAGTTGCATTGGTCTCTGGCGAAAATCTACTTCCGGCCTTGCTTTTACGCGGTTACTCGAAAGCTATAACCTTAAATCGGACCGGAAGTTGATCTCGAAACTAAAGCGGAGCAACAGTTGTCTACTCATCGCGTCTGTCGCCCTGCTGGGCGTCACGATTTCTCTACTAGCTACGTTCTTCCTCACTTTGGTCATTCCAAAAGACAGCATTTTGGTGAAAGTTCTTATGCTCACCCACCACGGCAGCGATACGTTCGTCTTCGAGGTCTTCGGTTTCTCTCTACTATCTTTCTCCATCGGCTGTGGACATCTCAGCCAACTGTGGCTTTTATTGTTCTTCAGCAGACTTATCTGTTACGAATTTACTACCATCCGTCGAAGGGTTCGCCATTCGAACGCACATGAATTGGCAAGAGAGATCGAATCCATCCGAAGGGAGTACGAAGAGGTGGTTCATCTTGTGGAGGCTGTGGAAGACTTGTTAAGCTTCAACCTACTCTTCTTGTTCAGCGCAATGGTCCCAACAACTTGTATATTTCTCTATGCGCTCATTCAGCAAGGTGTAGAAGAAGTCGATCTCGGCGTAATAGGCGTCATGGCTTTTACTGCAGTGACAGAATGTGTCTTGATTGTATCTTTGGGAATCCGAATCAACAAAAAAGTAAGTGAATTATTTTCATTAATTCCTTTTTTAAATTAATTTTGAAGGTTAACAGCCAGCTGTTTTCATTTAAAATAAAATTCAGCCAAAGAAAATATTAGAACATAAATTATTGAATGTATACAATGCTTTTAAGCAGAACTCGGTTTTTGATAACATATTCTCTTGCTTCCATATTTTTTATTTAAAAATGTGCTGGGAATTTTGAAAATATATAATAAATAAAATTCGAATTAAATTACTCATGCCGTCCTGGGTAAGACGATAAACTACATCCGCGTCCCCAGGTAGGACGATAAACTACATTCGCGTCCTGGGTAAGACGATAAACTACATCCGCGTCCTGGGTATGACGATAAACTACATCCGAGTCCTGGGTAAGACGATAAACTACATCCAGCAGCAAGGCCTCCGATCAGGAGGTCTTGAGGAGCGAAGAACCATCTCTTATTTTTCTGATGTTCCGAGGTCCAAACTTACCCAGAGCAGTAGCACCTGTTAGGCTCCCAACCTTAAGCAAATAGTTAACCCTCAAGCTGTGGTCAAAACACTATGAAAGTGTAAAAATAGTTTTTAATACCAGTAATACATTTTTGTAAAAATTATTGCCAGCAATCAATTTTTGAAGAAAACAATTATTACCAGCAATACATTATTGAAAAAATATTACCAGCGATGCATTTTTGAAGAAAAAATATTACCAGCGATACATTTTTGTAGATAAAAATATAACCATTAATATATTTTTGAGAAAAATATTACCAGCAATACATGTTTTGGAAAAATATTACCAGCAATACATGTTTGAAAAAAAATATTACCAGCAATACATGTTTTGAAAAAAATATTACCAGCAATACATGTTTTGGAAAAATATTAGCAGCAATACATGTTTGAAAAAAAAATTGCCAGCAATACATGTTTTGAAAAAAATATTACCAGCAATACATGTTTTGAAAAAAAATATTACCAGCAATATATGTTTTGAAAAAAATATTGCCAGCAATGTATTTTTTAAGAAAAATATGCCCAGCAATACGTTTTGAAAAAATATTGCCAGCAATACATGTTTTATAAATATTTCCATCAATAAATATCTTGTCGTCATTAAATAACCCATTGAAATTGATATGCCATAAAACAAACCAAATCAAACCAAATTACTCATGACCTTGTAGCTTATCGTTTCCTACATAGTCCCAGATAGCATGTCACGTGTCAAGGAGGATTTCGGCGCTGCCCATCTTCTCCATCAGTATTATGTGTAAGATTAGCGTTAAGTAAACACTAATTGGACTTTCATGCATTTCCCAAAAGTCTGACACAATTGTAGCAGTTCATATCGCAATGGGGTTTACCCGATAATAGCCATCGCCTCAACAGGGTTTAATCGCTGACCTTACTAAGTAACAGAGATGGGCTTATGCTTTGATGTCCTGTTTATCCTATAATCTATTACATTGTGCTTTTGGAGTATTTTGTAGCATTTCATATTGCGATGGAGGATACTTGACAATGACCATCTTTTCCCCTGTGTTAATCAAGACCTTACAAGTTGTAAGATATGGTCTTTTTCTTCTAAATCTCAGTAATCTTATAAACTATTACATTGTGACTTTTTGGGACCTTCGTAGGCGATTTGGTGAACTTTGTGTCATTTCATATTGCAAACGGGGATACTTGAAAATATCCATCTCTTCAACTGGAATTAATATTTTATTTTACCACTTGAAAGATGTGACATCATGTTGTTAAATCATATTTATCTCATAACCCATTATATTGTGACTTTTGGGGTCGTTCATCGAACTTTTGGGGTCCTTTTGCCATTTCATATCGCAATAGGTTATAACTTGCAACGCCCATCTCTTCAACTGGGATTAATTTATGACCTTACAAATTGGAAGAAATGGTCCCTTGCTTTTAAATCACATTGATCTTATAACGTATTACTTTGTTATTTTTGTTGTCCATCGTGGATCTTTTGTTGTCTTTTGTGGCATTTCATATCGCAATGGGTTATACTTTGCAACGCATTGCTTTTAAATCCCATTAATTTTACTTTATGACCTGTTACATTGTTATTTTTTTTTAGTCAATCTTGGAGCTTTTGTTGTGCTTTGTGGCATTTCATATAGAAATAGGTTATACGTGACAATGACCTTCTATTCAACAGGGACTAATCTCTGAAAAATAATATAAAAATAAACAATTAAAAATATAAGAATAAAAAATGGATCATTTTAAAGACTTCACTTTTAAAAAAAATTCGGCATCGCTCTCTTTGTGTAAAGAAAAAATAAAGACTTCCGTTCACATTTTCCAGATATCGCTTTTCTCATCCCCACTTCCGGCCAACGAGGGAGGGCACTTCCGGCCAACGAGGGAGCGCACTTCTGGCCAACGAGGGAGCGCACTTCCGGCTAACGAGGGAGGGCTTCTTCGTCAAGCAGAGTTGTCCACTAAAATTGAATTCACGCGAATGGCCTCCTCAAACTTACTTCGATTCACAGCAATCTCCGCCACTGCCACCAGTGGAAGGGAAAGAGAACAGAAAGAAAGAAGATGACGCTCCCGATGATCGGATGTGAGCGGGTGCTGACAATAAAAAAAAAACCTAAAGCAACACCACACATTAAAGAAGAAGAATCTATGGATGTCAGTCTGATGTAATGGTTACCAACGCAGAAAGTGGATTCGTTGCACCGAGGTCGAGTTTTTTTTGTTTTTTTTTTCTGTTGAGAGCACTTCACTCTGTGCTTGAATCTTGATGTATTCTTCCCCCTAATCTAGGGGTTAAATAACAAACTTGACTTTCTGCGGAAAAGAGGAGAGGCATAATTTATACTGTCCAAGAGAACCAGCACCACCTGCAGTACATTGGTAAAGTTCTACATAGTGACCTTTTGTTTTTTTAATCATTTCACCTGAGTCGATGCAGGAATGCCACTAGTACACGGGGTACAGGGAATGTAAGTGAGAAAAATAATGAGAATAGGGAAGATTGAGAAAAGGACAACGTTTGAACAGGATTCATCAAGATAGAACACGGTGATTGACGTTGCATTTAAATTCTTGAAGATTTTAGTTATCAGGGAAGCATGTAATCGGTAAGGACTGCCATAGAAGAGGCTTGCGAGAAAAATAAACTGTTGGACTAGAAGTGGCGGTTGCAGTTCACTATTTCAATAGTAAATGGGTGGGACCTAAATACTAATCAAGCATGTAGTCGGGGCACCAGTGTAAAAAACTCGTGGGGAGCAGTTACCATGAAAATAATTGTAGAAAAGACAGAAGCCATGTCACGTCGGTGAGAAAGTGACTGGCATCGAGACGTCTGGCCAGGATTGATTACATTACAGATCCATCTTTGGATTTTGTCAAGAATATACAGCAGGAACAAAAGATTACACAGTATTCAATGCACGGACGAATGGTAGATTCGTAAAGATGTATTGTGACGGGAAACCAACTTTCCTTGCAGTAGATGAAGCTATTGATTCGATGTAGTCGATCCACTTCAAGTCAGTGGAAAACGCGAGGGCAAGAAGGCGCAGTGTGTTGCTCTCTTGAAGTTTAGAGACAGCCATGATGATGGCATACAGAAAAGGTTCTCTATGGTGGTTAAATGACAAGAGTTTTGTTATGGAGGTATTAAAATTTACAAGCCATTTCTTGCCCCAGTTAACCACCGTTTGGCGGTCCTTTTCAAGAACAGCAGCCAGGTTTACTTTGTTATATCTGATGGATTTACTATTGAGACAGGAGTAAGTGGTAGTGTCATCTGCATAAATTCCTACTTGGAAACTGGTGATAGAAAGATCATTGATGGAGATCAGAAACAGCGTAGGTCCCAAGACAGAGCATTGGGGAACACCCGCGTTCGTGTGAAAGAATCTGATAAGCGAGCCCGTTCAAAATTTGATAGGAACATGCTCGGTTCATCATATCCTTAGCATCCTTCTGTAGAATCACATCTCTGTCGCCTCGTGCATCTTCTTCCTCTTTGAGGAAATCGTCCAACTTTCGCTGCGTAAAGAAGGATAGATGTCCCGTAACAGCTCAGTGTTCTTTTTTTTGTTACCAAAGATATCCTCCTGTCTCGCAGTATTCTCTTTTGGAATGCGTCCTTGTCCATCCCAATACTATTACGGGTCTCAATGTCGCACTTACTGTCCTCTGTCAAAAGGCATCCTAGATATTTAGACTTCCGCGTCTGCTTGATTCTAGTGTTCCTGGCCTACAAACCGAGTTTTGGGCTCATCCTCTTACTGACAACAATGCACTCCACATTCTTGTAATTTATGATTAGTCCATTCTTCTCACTCTCCGTCACTACCTTCTGTAGGAGGTTTTGTAATTTCTTTTCCGTGTCTGCTATCAGTACTGTGTCATCTGCATATCTTATGTTGTTAAGATTGTGACCGCCAATGCTAAATCCACTTCCACTTCTTTCAGAATTGCCTCACTATAGAGGTTGAATAAGTCCGGTGAGAAGATACATCCTTGCCTTTTGAAAAGATCACAGCATTAATAGGGATTTTATTTCCCTAAAGTGTTGAATAGTTAAAAAGTTGTTTGGTATTTTTCTTAATTTCAAATATCTTAAATGGTCAGTTGTACCAGATTTGGTAGTTGAAAATGAAGAATAAATATTAACCAATTTTCATCACTGTTTGGAGTTTGTTGTTGGAGTGTATATAAGGCATATAAAAAAATAAAGAAATAACTTTAGTTTTCTTCATCTCATGTATGCGTGTGTGGCAGGTAAAGTCATAGTAAAGTGATTTTTAATAACTTTTCACTCTTGGTGACATTTAGCTCCCAAGTATTCAAGAAAACAAAGCCATTTATAAACATTTGTTGAGAAATAAAATAAGTGATGAAGGAGATAATTTGTAAGTTATTTCTAATTTTGAGATTAAAGTCTTTGTTTTCTATTAGTTTTCATCATCTTATTGCTTTTTTTTTTTTATCATGTCATTTTCAATTTGAATACC